TGTTGAGCATTAGCAAAAGCTCCTTTTTAGTGGTGTTCATTACAATCATGATGTTGCCTTGAGTATTACAAAAACATTTACATTAAAGAAAAGGTTGGTTAAATAATTATTTTTAAATTGTTAATTTATTTATGTAAATTTATTTTTTATACTAATATTCTTCTTTTCTATAGGTATGGGATTACAAAGTTTGTTATAATATTTCTAACATTAGAAATGCTTCACAAGTAGAATGTTAATCTTGGAATGATGTTTACTTTAGATGATAGGAGGAAAACTAATTTAAGAATGAGATAGTGTTTGCCCTTAAAGTAATGATTCCTTTGGTTGAGGTTCTTTTGCTAGTTAACAAATAAAAGAAGGCCAGCAACAAACTACATCTATGAAGCAATGGATAAAGTTAAGCAAACCAAAGTTAAGTTATTTGCTAGAAAAGAAGAAAAGTATTCTCGCGTGATTTCTATTGTAGATAATAGACAAGAAAATCAATTTTATTGTAGTAATCAAATAAAAATAAAAGTAATAAGAAAATTGTCAAGGGATTATATCATTGTATTGAAAGATTGGTTCTTTCTATTTATGATCAAGGTAATCTTTAGTGAGTTACACAAATATAAGGAAACTAAAGGTGTGTTTGGTCTCCAATGGTAATAAGGAATAGGAAAAAAATAGCACTTGATAAATACTTTAGTTTAAAGTATTTTTTTATTTGTTGTTAACTATTTAACTTCATTTGATTAAATATTAAATAATTAGTTAATTTATTTCTTTGAATTTGCAACTAAGAGGTGGATTTTATATGGAGTTGAAGCTCTTGAATTGAAGAAATTGATTATTAAAATCTTGAGTTTAATTTGTAGTGCTATTAGTTGTGAAAGGAATTAGAATGTTTTAAATAAGCCTTGCTTGTAATCTAGGATAGAATTATAGAATCTTCTATTTTATTTTTTTTACTTAATCTAATTATTTTAAATTCCAAATTATAGATTCATAGTAAGAAGACAAATAGACTAATGTAAAATATAAAAAAAATGCACGATTCGGTTTTTATAAGTACAATCAAGCATTTAAAGCTTGTTATTATAGCAATGATGTGATTGATCTCATTCCCATTAAATGTATTGCTAAGTGTAATGAATGGTTAATTGAAGAAATGGGTGGAGGTAATGTCGAGAATGAACAAACTTTTGATAATATAGAAGGCCTCACTAAAGGGATGTTGCTGTAGCTTTTAGGGTTAGAGAGTTTAAAATTTAAACTAGGTGAAATACTATTGATAAAACTAGGAGGAAAGAGGCTTCAAACTCTAAGGCATTAGCTAGACTTAGGCCTGATCTTGAAGAGGAGGAAGAAATGGTAGAAACAGACGATATAGTGGAGGAAGAGATAGAGAGTTACAACTTTAGTGATAAAGATGAGAGTAGTGATAAGGCTTAAATAGATGCTAATAAAGATAATGATATAGATTTTGATTGAAATTGATTTTTAGAATTTTAGAATCTTAGAGTGTTGGCGTAAACAAAAATTGGAAAAACTTGTGTTAGTGTTTAACTTTTAATGTTGGAGAATTTGAACTTTCCAAAATTTTATAAATTATGAACTTAAATATTATGAATTAACATACATGTTTTATACTTTAGTTTTTATGTTTTAGTTAGTATTAGTGTTGAATTATTTGGTTGCATTAGTGTTTAATTTTAAATTTTTTTACTTTTGGGGCCTTTAAATTTGGTTTTATTTATTTAAACTTTAAAGGTTAGTTTTTTTTTCTTTTTTTTATTGAAAATTTTTTTTTAGTGTAAAAGACTTGAAAAGTTGAAGTTTAGTTGTTTTAACAACTTTTAAATTTTCATAATACTATTAATAATATTTTAAAATCTGACTCAGTGATTGATAAGTATTCATCATTGGGTTTGATTAAACTAATTAACCAAAAACATTGACTCTTCCCTTTTTTGATATATTGTATCATTATATACCTTTTCAACACTATTTTAAAGAAATAATCACTTTTAAAATAACTCCAAAATCATCATAAAAGTCACTTAAACAATTTTATTTAATTAAATATATTTAATTTAAAACTTAAACTTAAAAACTACTAAAAGACATAATATAATAAAATTTCAAAATCTAAATTACAAATATAAGTATTTAAGTGAGCTGAATATAAAATAATAGGCTAAAACCTACTTTTAGCCCTTACCTTAATAAATTTGTAGGTTTTAACCCCTCCACCTTATATTATGACACTTTTAGCCTTTTACCTTAATAAATTTATTGGTTTTAATCTCTCACCTTATATTATGATATTTTTAGCTATATGAATTGAAGACAATAACCCTTACTTAATATTAGGTTATAATGTTTTGTTAGTTCTATTAACTAATTGTTAGCATTCTATTAGTATTCCGTTAATGAAACTAACTAATAAAATTAAATTTAAATTTCATGTTTTGTATAATAGAATGCTAATGGATGCTAATAATTAGTTAATAAAATTAGCAGTGAACTAACAAAACTAACAAAATATTATAACCTGATATTAAATGAGGGTTATTTTCTTCGATTCGTATAGGTGAGAGGCTAAAAGTGTCATAGTATAAGGTGAAGGATTAAAATCTACAAATTTATTAAGGTAAAGGGTTAAAAGTGTCATGGTATAAAGTGAGGGACTAAAACCCACAAATTTATTAAAGTAAAGGGCTAAAAGTAGGTTTTTACCAAAATAACAAGAGAGAATCTCAACTCACAATATATTTACAACAAAATAAGTCTTGAATATAAAGAAAAAAAATTCTTTAACCAATTCCACAACAAAATAAATCTTGAATGGAAAGAAAGTTTTAAACCAAATTCATGATAAGTACATAAGTTAATAAGCCTAAATACTAGCAATAATTCATTTATTTTGGTTTAAATGAGATGTATCCTTCATCAAGATAAGCATGTAGCTCACGGAAATCATGCTCAATGTCATCACTATCTTCAAATATTTCCCCAATTGTTTATATATCAATTTCTCCACTAGAATCACTAACTAGCTCTTTGACAATACCTTAAAATTAAAATTATAAAAAAAATGCAAAAAAGTAATAACAAAATAAGTCATCCTAGGTAAGTAACCAAATGACATAGCACCTTATTACACCTTTTAACTTCTCCACCTTTTCTAGTAAAATGATGTCTCATTTTGTTTATTCTTCCTCTTTTGATAAGTTTTGCCAATGTAAACATTATAATGTTTTTTTTTTTGTGCCTTCAACTTCCATGTGATGTTTCCATGCAATATCTACTTTTTTTTGAAAATCCATGCAATATCTACTTTTTCTCTATATGATTACTATAATTGTATAGATGCAGTAGTTAAATTTTGTCTAAAAGAAGATATTATTTTGCTTCTGCAAAGCACACATATATATATAAATAAAAAATATTAAGATATCATAAATAAGATTGCTTTTCCTCCTAATAAAAGTTAAATTTCTAAATTTATAAACTGATGAAGCTATTGTCAAACTCGCTGCAAAAACAGAGCGATCACAAGTCTTGGCCATAAAAAAAAAAAAAAAAAGAGAGAGAGGTTTGAATGCCATTGCTTACTCTTTCCTCTAAACAAAGTTAAATTTCTAATTTTATAAACTAATAGAAATTGAACTACCATGAAGGACTTTGAAAAAAAAAAAAAAACCATGCTAATCATGAATTGGGTCTATCCATCTTGGACGCTTGGCAAAAAACCAAAAAAAAAGAAAAAAAGAAGATAAATTGAAAACTTTTGAAATATGGTGGCTTACTCTTCAAGTTCAAGACTTCAACTAGAGGAATGACCGAATTGTGGACTCTTGGATTGATGCTTGCTGGTTGCTGGCATGGACAGAGATGACCAAATCGTGGTGGTTGCTAATTGTAGATGCAAAGTTCAATAGGTAGTTACGGATGGCAATTGCAGGGGCTCTGTTGAACTTGTAGAGGACGAGGTAGGAGAAAGGAGACTGAAGGACTGGAACTCTAGAAGGGACAATCTATAATGGGAATGGAAAAAGAAGAGTTAGGGTTTTGAATTTTCTAATTTTGGGTTTTTTTTGTTGAATTAAGACGAGGTTAATATGAAAATAACAATGAAAAATAGGGGTTGCCATGGGTAAAACATATAAAATTATTTAAAAAATAATTAAAGTTTAATTTTAAAAATAGTTGGGTTGGGTTGGACAAGTTTGGCAAGTTTGACCGAATCAAAGTTGGTTTTCTTGTACATACCTGGGTTGTTTTAATGGCTGGATTTGGTTGAACTAGTTCAATTAGATTGGGTCGAGTCAAGTTTAAAACCTTCACTATAAGTATACTATCTTTTAAGTTATAATTCTATTAATTTCTTTATTCATCAATTGAAGTAGTATACCTGCAGCAATATATAATCATTTTTATTTTTTTTGGTAAAAATAATTATTTTTATTTCACCTTAAAGAAGTAGTCACTTGACTTCTTACGTCAACATTTTTTAAGCCATTGCATCTCCTTGTCTTTTATCTTAAACAACACTGAATTACTAGGTAATTTAAAATGTTGATAATGGTAGTCTTTATACTTTTATCACTTTGTTAGTAATCCTTTGATGATTGTTTTTGTAAATTTTAGTGATAGGCGTTTTCCTTTACTAAATTTCAATTATGTATCATAAGTAAAATCTTTTGTTATTAACATTCTAGGTAGCTTTCCTCTGGCTGTAGTAGCCATAAGTAAAAATTTTTATTGTAATTTATATTATTAATATTCATGAGTCTCATAATTCATAATTTCATAATAGAAATGTATTCTGCAATTTGTGGAGTATTGAATTGTACTGGATTTGTGCCACTTATATCAGTGCGGCAAGGGCTGTCCATTAAAAAAAAATAAAAATTACACAACGGCTAGGCAGGTGACCTGGGGCACCGGAACCCGGTGCGATCACGTGGCCCATTTCTACCCTCATAGAACCTCGCAGTGGGATCCACTCTGCATCTATTCTCTTCAGCAAAATATGAGACGAAGAAGGGAAAGCTCGAAAATAACCGTTTAAGCGCAGCAGAATCAGACATGGAAGAGGTCTTCATGGAGCCGCGAGTGCCGGCAGTGAGTCAAGACCCCAAACACTCCTCCGCTGAGCCTCCACCGGAGCCCGGAGGAGTTGTCGTCTCCTCTTCCGAAGTAGCCGAGATGGACAAGGACCTGCTCTGCCCGATATGTATGCAGATAATCAAGGACGCATTTCTGACGGCGTGCGGTCATAGCTTCTGCTACATGTGCATCATCACTCACCTCCGAAACAAGAGCGATTGCCCTTGTTGTGCCCAGTATCTCACCAACAATCAGCTTTTCCCTAATTTCTTGCTCGATAAGGTTTGCTTCAATTCGCTGTCATATCCTCTTTTTTATTTTTTTATCTGAATTTTTAAATGCAATTAAGTTAAATAGAAGATGGTGTGCAGAATTTCGAACTTGTGTTCATTCAGTAGTTTTTTAGATTTTTTGGTACCATAACTCAATTTCAATTTGAGTAGACTAATTGAACAGCATGAAATCTTTGCTTAGAATAAAGCTTATTGGTTTAATCTAAATGGTTTCTCTTTACTTAGAATGTTAAGTTCTGTATTGTCATTCTTAGTTATGTCATTATTGCTCTTTAATATTTGGTGTTGTCGATTTCAAGAATTTTATGTTCTTAATTCTGTTCAATACAGAAATGACTTAAGTTGCAGGTTTAAGAAATTAGCTCCTGCTGAGTGAAATGACTTTACATGCATGTTCCATTGCTTCTGCAGCACCTATAATGACAATGTTTCATCATTTAAATTTGGTTATCTCTTTTATGTTAGCGCATTGATGTTTTCATTGTTGGTGTTTTGTTGTATGTTTTGACTTTCTACTCTGTAAAATTCATAAAAAAGGTTTGATTTGACCTATTTTGCATTATATGCCAAGTAGCTGAGGATTTTTAAGCAAGTGTTTTTAGTCAATTTATTTCCCTGTTTCCTCACCTTTTTCTCTTGTGATTTTATTGTTAAAGATGATAAACTTGCGTTAAAGACGATAAACTTGCGTTAAAGACATTGAATTCCATTTGAAAATTAAGAGATTCTGTGAAAGTGAATATCTGCACTTTAAGGGTCTCATTAATTTATGTGAACAATCATGCAATGGTCTGGGTAAGTTGTTGAATTTTTAATATGTGATTTGGAGATAATTTGTATCTTGAAATGGTCTACTTCGCAATGCAGCTTATTGTTATACGATTTCTCTGTACCACATTTGTAGCTATTGAAGAAGGCTTCTGCTCGTCAAATGTCAAAAACTGCATCCCCTATGGAACAGTTTCGTCAGGCATTACAACAGGTCAGATACTGCCAGATCAGATTTTCAGATGATTTCCATTGTTCATATACCTTTAAATTTTGCCAGTTTAGATTGTCTCAGTGTCACATGTCCGTGTTCTGACTGTAATAAATTCATAGTTCTATATTGAAGTTCTTTTTTTTTTTTTTTTTTGATAGTAGTGTAATAAATTTGGTTGGATCAAGGGGCTTTTGTGAATTTTATGCTTATAGCTGAGGATTGGTGCATTATGAACATAGAACCAAAGTTTAGGAAGGTCCATATGTGATTTAGAGGGGATTCTTGCCTATATTTTTTTACCATCTTTATGGAGTATAGCACATACAAAAACTTAGTGTGACTTGCTCTTTTATGTCAGTAAATCTGAGTGCTTAATTTGAAGTATACTTGTGGAACCTACCAATGGAGCAAAAGTGTTTTAGCTATTAAATAACTGAATTTTCACCAATAAAACTTCTACATATATTGTTATTGGCTATTCCTAGTTATTTCAATGTTTGTTTTGAAGTATGATGGTTCAGTTTTTCTCTAGTTGGGCTATCAAGCTTGAATGTACCTTGATATAATAATGGCCTTAAACTGATATTTGAATCACCTTATACCGTATCGCAGAGAAGATCTACATACAAATATATTATGTATGCAATTAAATTATTTGGATGGTGCACTTAAGTTGTAGAGTTGTGTTGTTGGCAACTAAGGCTTGGTGTAGTTTCCCATTGTGAGGCATGAAACAGTGTAAATTTAGTATTTTTGAGAGGTCAAGTGTAGATCATGGTTTGTAGAGGACTGCTTATGAAGAATCACTTGGTCATCAAATGCTATAACCATTTTCTTAATAGGCTTGGCTTTCTTTGTTTGTTTGTTATAAGGAAAAAAGAGTGGACTTTCTCTTTCTCTCTCTCATATTACATTTGAGTATTTTTTTTTTTTTTTTATTTAAACATGACACTTTTTTATTCTTTCTCCTAACACAGGGTTGTGAAGTGTCGATCAAGGAGGTGGACAGTCTATTATCACTCCTTTCAGAGAAGAAGAGAAAAATGGAACAGGAAGAAGCTGAGAGAAATATGCAAATACTTCTGGACTTCTTGAACTGCTTACGGAAGCAGAAGGTTGATGAACTGAATGAGGTTTGTGTAAATAAAGTGCCCTGACTCTTCATGGCTTGATTAGTTCCGTATGTTTTATTGTGTTGTTGTCCTTTACCTTCTCTGATTTATTTCTCTGGCAGTCTGGTTGGACTGGACCGTCTTTCCCATCAAATTTATGTTGCAAATATTTATGCCTCAGAGGAGATTAAGGCTTGGTCCCCAACTCTCCTTTTCTTTAACTAAATTTTTTACCTGTTTCATATGGTAATCTTTATTACGGGAAAAAAAATGCCATGCACAGTTTTATCAGAAATAGTAAATCTAAATAATAATTCAAATGGTGATTCTTTGTGTATTTATCTTGATAGGTACAAACTGATCTCCAGTTTGTTAAAGAGGACATAAATGCAGTTGAGAGACATAGAATAGACTTGTATCGTGCAAGAGATAGATACTCTGTGAAATTGAGAATGCTTGGTGATGATTCTAGCTCAAGAAAGCCATGGACTTCATTGATGGATAAGAAAAGTAGTGGAGTTAACCCAAGTTCTCTTAATGTCAGAGGAGGGACACTTGTAGGGAATTTTCAAAACAAGAAAGCAGACGGAAAGGCCCAAGTGAGCTCCCATGGACTTCAGAGAAAGGATAGTTTGAGTGGCTCAGACTCACAATGTTTTAATCAATCAAGTCTATCTGTTGCAAGAAAAAAGAGGGTTCAGGCACAGGTCTGAAATTTTACAGCTTCAAGTATCAAAGTTATTGCTTATTATTTCTATTAGAAATATAATTGTGCTTTACAATGGGAAGTTCCATTTACTGTGTTCATTTTTAGAAACTGTTCTTGCATACCCTGCTTGTGGCGTGTCATATAATATGAACTCCTTAGAGTTTAAGTAATAATAATCTGTGTGAATTCTATATGGATATATACATGGGTCAATGGAAATTGGCATAGAGACAACTTAGTGATTGGTAATAAGTAATTTTGAAAATATTTTTAATTGGTGACAATATGAGGAACTGGAAAAAGTTTGCTAATTGGCTGTCTGGTGTGGTTATAACAACTGATATCAGCACTTACCAAATATAATGAAATACAATCAGCATTTCATATTTTCCATGCCCGCATTCATCTTTGTTTTTAATCTCTGGAAGCAGTTCAATGACCTACAAGAATGTTACCTGCAAAAGCGACATCAGTTAGCAAATCAACCACATATTAAGCAAGAAAGTGATAAAAATGTCATACATAGAGAGGGTTATAGTGCAGGTCTTGCAGACTTTCAATCTGTTCTGACTACCTTTACTCGGTACAGGTATGCATCTCTAATTTTATGTCTGAAGGGAAGTTGGAAATGCTATCATCCTCATTTCAATGTTTCCCATATGTGGCTCACTGTCAGTTTTCTTTTTACCTCTGACACAGCCGTCTTAGAGTTATTGCTGAGCTTAGGCATGGTGATCTATTTCATTCAGCCAATATAGTGTCAAGGTGAGTTACTACAAATACAGAAGTCTTATTTTTGTTTTTCCGTGTAACAATGTATTTGCTATATACCATTGTCTGATGTACAAAGTTGATTAGAAATGTAACTAAAAATATCAATTTTGTGTTTTGAGGGTTGCAAATTGCAATTAGTTATTTGTTTTTAGTTTGATACAAATATCAAGTTGGATGATAAATCTCAAACATGGTATGACGGGAAAACATTCCATGAATAGTGTAGTAAGGGGAAGGAAAGAGTAGAAGAAAGAGCAAGGCAAGGAGACGTTTATCAAATGGGATGTCGTAGCCTCTTAGTAGAACAAGAAGGGAAAGTGAAGTATTCTTTTTGTGAGAAGAGTGTCAATGCCTTTTGTTTTAATGGATGATTATGATTCTATACTGGATAAATGCAACATTGAAGGACTTCTCCTTAGCACTTCATAAATATCTTATGGTGGATAAGTTGTGATTAACCTATCAGAAGAGCCAGCTGTACCCTTGATTTTACCACACATTAAGTCTTCAAACTGTTGCCCAGGTATCTATCATTTGCCAAACATGTGTGATTGAAAATTTGTTCCTGCAGCATTGAATTTGACCGTGATGATGAGTTCTTTGCCACGGCTGGTGTGTCTCGGCGCATTAAGGTCTTTGATTTCTCTTCGGTAAGATCCTGAAATTCCTGCACCTCTGACCTTTTGTTTGTGTTCTACTAACTGTTGTTCATAATATATGTACAGAAAAGTGAAAGTCGAGATGTTCTGGCATTAATTGTCAAGACAACTAATTCCAACCACATGATAGATGGGATCTAGGTGGGACCTGTATTGTGTCCCTCCCATCCTTTGGCTGTGATTGGACATCCTTGTTTTCCACAAGCTCATATATATACACTGTGCCATTCTACAATTCTATACCCTACTGTAACCCTTCTCCTCTTTTTTTCTTCTTCTATAGTATTATTTTAGTCTTCTTTCAGTTAAATGGCTGATCTGTCAATAGTCAGCCTTAAAAGGGGGCAGAAATGGCCACAATGTTAATTATAATTTTTCTTCTGTATACCTTTTAAAGGTTGCTAATGCGTGTTACTCCAGCACTTCCCCACTTTGTATTTTTGAAAGTTATTAATTTATAGAAATTTCCATTTTACCATTCTGCTTATCTTTCACTAGAAGTTGCTTTAGTGGTCATTCCATATGGCCAGTGTTATGATTTACTTGTGTTTAAATGGAGCTGCTATCACTGTTTTTTCATATTCTGATTGATGAAATTCATGCCATATACTTGTATTTTCTTTGATTAAGTTTGTTGTATAATAGCAATCAAACTCTTTGTTTGTTGTATGTAGACTCATTTGTGTATGACTTTTCTCCAACCTTGAGCTAGTTTGCTTATCATTTCCCTATATAATTGTTTCCAGGTTGTAAATGAACCTGTAGATGTGCACTGCCCTGTTGTGGAGATGTCAACACGTTCTAAACTTAGTTGCTTGAGTTGGAACAAGTTTTCCAAGAATCATATAGCTAGTAGCGATTACGAGGGAATAGTAACTGTTTGGGATGTAACAACTCGGCAGGTAATTAGAGGGCTAAATTTAATTTTTCATCTACTAACTATTATTCTATTTTCATTTTAGTCTAGAAAGTTTAGTTTTTTTCAAATTCATCTATAAACTTTGAAAATTATTTCAAATTCATCTATCTAGCAAACTTCCGTTAATTTTTTTAACAGAATCCCATGGCATGCTTATGTGGCACCAATAACGTGACACATACAGTTTTGAAAAAATATACTTCTTCCTTTCCTTTTTTGTTTTGTTTTGTTTTTTCTTTTATTTGTTTATGATAATAATGTTCATTGTTTCATTGAGATTTTTTCTTTATTTTTTATTTTTAAATTTGTAATAAATTTATATGTTTAAATTTTGATTAACAACTAAAAAAATCATCATTGTCATTATTAGGATAAAATTATATCATTTTTTTAAGGTTAATGCGAATTAATCTCAACTCTTAAACAAAGTTGGAGTTTCAACCTATATTTAGAAACTATATTTAGAAACTAAAATTTCAATTCAAATTTTAAAAATTTAATCTGTTTTTAAATTTAAATATCAATATTTAATAATAGCATAAACTTTTAAATTTTAAATTAAGTTTTAATTAAATAAATAAAATAATTTACAATTAGAACTCTAATTTCTTTGAGTTGAACCTGATATACATTTTTCCCTTTCTTTTTTCTATTTTCAAAAATTTAATTTTATCTGTACTCTCTCTTTCTCAAAATAACTTTTTTTTTTATTTTTTTAAATTAAAAATTTAAGGATAATTTATGTTTCCTTATATTACCCTTAAAAAGAAATAAAAGATGAAAAAAAATTATTTTGAGAAAGAGAGAGTTCAAATAAGAATTAATTTTTTGTACTAAATGAAAAAAGAAACAAATACATATCAATCTTGACTCCAAAAAAAAATTGAAGTTTTAACCTTAAATTGGTTCATTTTATTTAATTAAACTTAATTTAAAATTTAAAAGTTTATCTTATCAAATGTTGATGTTTAGATTTAGAAAATGATTAGATTCTTAATTTTGAATTAGAATTTAAGTTTTTAAATATATTTTGAAACTCTAATTTTTTTAGGAGTCAAGACTAATCCACACTAACTTAAAAAAAAAATGATATTATTTTATGCTAATAATGACAATGATGAATTTTTTAGTTGTTAATAAAAATTAAAAGATATAGATTTATTACAAATTTTTTTAAAAAAAATATCTCATTGAAAAAGTGAAAATATTATTAGGATGTACAAATGAAAAAAAAAAAAGAAGAACAAATTTTCAAAATTGCATATGCCACGTAACTCGTGCCACATAATTATGCCATAGGATTCCGTTAAAAAAACTAACGGAAGTTTGCTAGATAGATGAATTTGAAATGGTTTTCATAGTTTATAGATGAATTTGAAAGAAACTAAACCATCTAGACTAAAATGAAAATAGAATAATAGTTAGTAGATGAAAAGTTAAATTTAGCCGTAATTAGAGCCTATATCTTTAATTGGCAACTATATTACATGCCAAAGACATGCATTTCTATTTTATTATTGTAGTTTTGTGATGATCCAGCAATTATGAGTTTGTTTCTAAAATGAAGTATTAAAATCTTTGGCAGAGTCTTATGGAATATGAAGAGCATGAAAAACGTGCATGGAGTGTGGATTTCTCGCGTATGGAACCTTCAATGCTTGTATCTGGCAGCGATGATTGCAAGGTATGGGATATTTTCATGTCTCGAAGCTGTGTGTTGCTTGCTTGCATCAAAGATCTTTTGGTGTGTTATTTTTTTGCCTCTCATAAGACAAAGGGAAAAAAGATAACATATTTAGTATCTCCATCTACTTGATTTAAGTTTCAACTTGTTCAAAATTTATAATTAATTAAAATGTTATCATTTCACATTGTTGCTTGTTGGAGTATGACCAATGCATTCTTGTTGGTTTGCTATTTACTTGACATAGTATTTCTATATTTTTTCTTTCAATTGTTGAATAAATAAGATAGTTAGATTACCAAGAAGGTATATATTTCAAATATACATGACTTCTAGTCACTGCCATTTATACGGATAACCGAATGCAAGTTTTTGTTGTTATTTGATGTTGTGGCACATATTTTTTAGTTGTTACATGTGTTTGCCAGAGAGTTACCCAGACCATAAATGTGCTCTAGTATAATCCTCCCATAGTCATATTCTTGCAATTTTAAGGCTTTCTCCTTGTTTTAGAGCCTGTTTTCTCCAGTTACTCTTTTGGCAACTTGTTTAAGTTCATGAACAGTTCCATTTTATTTATTCAATATTATTTCTATATTTTAATAATATAAATTTCTACATAATAATAATTATTTTTTTTCTTAATTGAGAAATACATTAATGGTTTAACATAGAGAACTCTTTTCTTATTGAATTTTAAGTTTGAAAGTGGCCATGGATTACATGATATATACAAGCATTATTAGTGTCAAACAATGGTTGAAAGTGGCCATGGATTACATGGCATATACAAGCATTATTAATACCATAGGATGCCCAATCATTGAAATATACTACTATAATTAGCATCTATGACATCATTTGTAGCTTTGCCACCTTGTATAAAAGCCCAATTGGTCAAAAGTGCTAGGATAATTGTTCAAAGAAAATGTCATACATTCTAGATGTTTATTGACATAGGCTTTTTTCAAGAAGTTCCTTCTCTTTGCCAGGCTCTTCAATGCATGGTATTTTTGGCTTTTACCCTCTATTTGCAAAAGCCCTCTAATAGAAGCTTTAAATATGGAATTTAAGCTTCCAAAGAAGCTACAAAATGATTGTTCTTCACCCTAGCCTAAGCTTCTATTGTAGAGAAGCTATGGTAGAGGACCAAATGTGCACCAAGCAAATCTTGATCTTTTATATGTGAGTTTGAAGGGAGCTCAATTTGAGCCACAGTCTTAGGTAATAACTTAATCAGTGCTAGCATGATCAAGTAAGCAACCTTATTGCTTTCTTGTGGCTTATCAGCGCTATTTGGCATAGAGGTTGAAATCCAACGAGTGGTGGGTAGTAAATAGTAGGTAGCAAGTGGTAGGTTGTAGGTGGTGAGTAGCAGGTAGTGGATATTGATTTAAATAACTATTTGGTTATTAATAGTTAGCAGTTGCTATTTAGCGTCAAATGACAAATAAAAACGAATTCAAAGAGTGGTTAATTGCTATTTTAACACTAAAAGAATTTATTATTATTATTATTTTATTATGCAATTACAAATGAAACATTCCTTAGTTATTTTTTAATAGAGAAATTATTTTTCTTTTATTAAATATTAAGGAAAAATTGCAAACTTATCAATTAATTAATTTGTCATTATGACTTAGCAAATTTTTGTTAAATAAGAAAATTAGTTAACAACACAAAAATAGCAAAAGAAAAAAGAAATCAACTAGTTAATGTTAAAATTGAACATAAAATAAGTTAAATGTAAAAATGGCAGGGGTGAAGTCGTGCCTTAAGCTTGCATTTTTTATATAATTATTTTACGGGTAAATTTGTGATAATAATTTATAAATTTTGATGTCTAGTGGTTTGGGGCAAAAAGCTACTCTATTCAGGTTTTTCCATCTATTAGCAATTAAATAAAAAAATTTACCAAACACTAAATACTTAGCAGTTGCTGAAAATGAAAATTTACCCAACACTAACTGCTAACCCCATCCCATTAAAAGGCAGGCCAGGTTAGCACACTCTTGCTTAACTAAAAGGAAGAATGTTGATATATAGCATCCTATCAATATTTGCTTGGCTAGTCTCTGTACCTTAATTGTTTGTGTTGAACCTCATCTAAGTTTCATCTTGTTTCAAAAGTATAGGCTTGTGTTAGAGATGTTGGAAGATTTAGAGAAACAATTATATCAAGTGATTGATTGTTTTAGTTATGTAAATATATATTAGATTTGATATTATGTTTTTATGGTGGATTTGTTGAGGATTTCTAAGGGGGTGTTTGGCATGGAGGTTTGAGGTTAGCTGCTAGCAGTTTGGATTAATTGGATGAATAAGAATATTTGGATTATAAATAGCAATAGCTATCAGATTTTTGCTTATCTGCTATCTGCTGCAGTTGGGTTGATACTTGAAACACCCCCTTAGTCAATGTTCTGTAATGGGTCCCTTAAAACCTAAAAAAGGGCTTCCTATGTAACATTTCTTATATCTTAGAATAATAAGTTTTATTCAATATTCTTTTCTTCCAATTTTCTGGTCTAGGTTTTTCCTGTTTTAATTTTCTTAACATGTATAGTAAGTTTCATGATTTCTTTTTGCTTTTGCAGTCTGCAGTTCTCCTGTTTTTAATTTTCTTTTAAAAAGAAAAAAAAGGGTTATTTGTCTTGGGTTGTTCTCTCTTTCCCCTAGTGTCTTCCTTGGGTATTAGGTCTTAGGGTTTTTTATTTTTTATTTTTTTTATTTCAGATAAAAAAAGAAAAAAGAAAAAAGTTATTTTAATTGGGTTGGTTTATGTGTGTCAATTTCTCCCAAAATAGAAAAGGTGAGGTTTAGGGGGAAATTAGGGTTTTTTGGTTATTTTCAAGTTAAAAAATAGAAAAAAGGGGATCAAATTGGTTTTGCTTTGGGTTGGAGTGGATTCCAACAACAGAGAGAAGGTGTGAGGATAAATTGGTGCAAGGCTGTTATGTTTCTCTCCTGTTTGGTTGCTTGATAATTTAGATCTGATGTGGATCTTGGTGGGTGTCTGGTGTGTGTTTTGAGTACCAACCTGTTCAGCAGTGATTGATGTGATTGTTGCCACCTACAACTCATAATGTCAGTGTGATTGGGTGCTGAATGTGACCTACAATGCCAGTGTGTATTTCTTGTGGTTTTGACTTGTTCACAAGTTTGGCCAGTTTTGGTGAGAGTTTTCTGTTGGTTTGGTTATTGGTTCAACTCATGCCTGTGATTGGTTCAATTAGATTCTTTCTTCAAGATTTCTTTATGATGATGCATTGTGGAGATTTCTTTTATTTGCAATCTTAAGTAGGTAGAACCATCTTGAGTCTGAGGAGGATGTTAGAGATATTGGGAAATTTGGAGTATCCATTATATTATGGGATTGATTGTTTTAGTTATGGAAATATATATTAAATTTTATATTATGTTATTATGGTAGATTTGTTAAGGGTTTCTTAGTCATTGTCCTATAGTGGGTCCCTTAAAGCGTAGATAAAGGATCCTTAGGTAACATTTTCATATCACAGAATAATAATTCTAATTCAGTATGTGAGTTTTCATATCACAGAATAATGAGTCTAATTCAGTATGTTGCTCTTCTAATTTTCTTTCTTACCTTTTCCATGTTTTAATTTTCTTAACAGGTTGAATACAAACTTTCTGTGATTATCAAGAGGAATTCCACCTTATGATATTATTTCTTTCATGTGTTTTCCATGAATTAATCAGGTCAAAGTTTGGTGCACAAAGCAAGAAGCCAGTGTTCTAAACATTGACATGAAAGCAAATATATGCTGCGTCAAGTATAATCCTGGATCTAGCAATCACATTGCGGTATGCATATTATGTTTATATTCATTTTTCAAATATATGTAATCTTTTTGGATTAACTTATTTGCAGTTCATATACTAACTCATTACAGAAAATCTTGAGAAAGTGCTTTTCACATGCATATGGTAGAGGAGAAAATCACCTATCTAGTTTTGTTTCAGTTATTTATTTATTTTCTCTATTACATTTTTATGGAATTGTAGTTCTTTCTACCATATTGTGTGACACTTGCATGACTTTCTTTATTATGTCTATTGTCTAGCATCATTTGTTATCATTCTTGTTGGTTGTAAGCACTTTTTTTATCAGCATAGTTGTTGCAGGTATTGTTCATTAACTTCTGCAATTATTTTTACTTTTTTTTTCCTAATTATTGGTGAGTATTTTTATGTAATTGCAAGCCAGTAGCTATTTTCATTGAGAGTTTTGATATGTCAATTTATGTTCATTTGTAAAAGTCAAATAATGAGATTGCAACAATTTATTTTTATCATTAATTAATATTTACAGGAATACTAGTGGGATCCTTAATTAAACATACATTTATGGAAGGCCTTTCTTTAATTTTTCTTGCGTTACCTTCAGGGAATTAGGAGACACAATGTTCTTTCATCTTCTCTTTTTAGTGGGCAAACAAGAATCATCTATTCATAGGGGTACAAGGGGTACCCAACCCATTTACAAACCTTTTAGAACATATTACAGTATGTATTATGAGGCATAGTGCTCACCCCTGATACAGTTCTACTTTCCCCTTATGGCCTATTGCATATGTGCTTTCCATAACTTTAAACACAAATCCGGTTTAATTTTTGATTTTATCCAATAAAAGATTTGTATTTGATAAGTTCAGATACCTCATCGATCTTAACCTCCTCTTTGAAGATGGCATCCTTTTGTCTGACTTTGCTATGTGTGTTGTTTTCTTTAATGGATGAGGTGCCACTCGCTACTTGCTTATTGAAACCATTTCATTGCTTAGTGTCTCATATGTGATCTTTTTTTTCTCATTTTTCATTAGCCAAACTTTTATTCTCTAATCTTAATTGTGCCTCATCTCCAATCATATTGCTTTCTACTTGGATTTTTAACTTTCATTTACATACTCACCTAAGCATTGTAATTTGCTCGGGTTAACTTTATTTACACCTGTAAATGCACAAAATAGCTCCAAGTTGATATCAGCATTTATGGGTTAATCTATGATTCAAGCTTATCCAAGAGTACATGTGAAGACCTGGGAGTGGACCCTAGGGAGATGCTTTGATGCTCAAGTCAGCAATAATCTTGCCCTCTTTAGAGGGAGATGGAGAATAATATAGAGAGAAAATGCAAGCGAAAGTGAAGTGCTTTTGAGGATGTTTGGGTATTTATAGACCTTCACCTGTCACTAAGCCACTGGCTCATTTGGACCCACTATGATGTTAAGGATGTTTGGGTATTTATAGACCTTCATGCACATGCAGTGCCATGTAGCCCTGTCATTGGCTGTTGTTGAGGTGTGTGGGACCCAGAGTCAACTTTAAAGTCAACTTTATTTTGGACCAAATATTTCCTAACAACATCCATTCTTGAAGCAGCATGTAGACCACTTAAGAATCACCCACTTTTTTTCATATCAACCAAAATGAATTGTATTAATGGAGAGTACAAGGGGCACTCCAACCCAGGTGCAGCACATGATAAACTACACATCAGCAGTTGTACCAAAAAAAAGGGGAAAAAAAAAACTAGATACATCAGGCCCATGACATAAAATATTGCAAACAAGTAGGGTTCTTTAGCAGGCTTAAGACATAATCAGAGTAAACAACTACCAGAGTCCCACAAAAGCAACAATGCCTCTGTAAATTTTTACCTTCATCTGCAATAATACTTGCTTAGACTTTCATTTGGTACAAACTTGAATGTCAAATGTCCATTATACTTTTGCTTTTTGTTTATGAATGTCTTGCATGACTGTTTTACATGTTTAAATACTTGAATTTTCAAGTATTTCAATGGTTTTGCTGTTTGCGGAGGCTCATGAATTGATGATTACAATTGTAACTCAGAATTGTAGATATCAATGCTTGGTTTCTATTCTTCAATAAAAATAGCTACCTTCTCCATAATAATGCCACTTGAAAAGCTTAAATGTCTGTGTCTTGCACCAATTTTCTATCATACAGAATATTACTATTAATGTCAAACTGGCAACTGAATGATGCTGGTAGTTTTTCTTGTTTTTGTTTGTAGGTTCTTTTTTTGGATATTTAATATATGAAAACCTGTGGGCTTTGCAGGTTGGGTCAGCAGACCATCACATCCACTATTATGATTTGAGAAACATCAGCAGCCCCCTCCATGTTTTTAGTGGGCATAAGAAAGCTGTCTCATATGTAAAATTCTTGTCTGAATATGAGCTTGCTTCTGCATCTACAGACAGCACACTACGATTATGGGATGTGAAGGAAAACTTGCCGGTGAGTATTATTTTTATGAATGTCCAGTTATTTATGCTTATGGACATGCTTTATTGCAAAAGGATGATTAATGTAAAGGTTTCATTGCTTCTAGTGCAGTAGGTAGCTGCTGGACTTTCTGGATATAGAAATTTGGCTTCTTGTTTGGCAAAGCTTAAAAAGCAACTTGCTTTAAAAGAAAATTCTTCTCTCACAAATTTGAAAATTTGTTGCAGGGAAATTCAAAAATTGGCTTTTAAAGTGGCTTATAAGCAAGTTTTGAGAAAGCTTGGATGAACTACTTCAAAAGCCAATTTTTAAATTTCCCACAACAAATTTTCAAATTTTGCGGGAGAACTAGAGAAGAAATTGCTTTTTAAGCTTTGCCAAACACTGTTGTGAGTGCATTAGGCTATAATCATGATGGAATTGTAGGACTTCAGTGAGGTCTACCGATGAGAATAATCCTTTGTCATCTTTCATGAAGATCTTTATAAACTTTTCATCTAGTTGTTTGCTTTGGCTAATAGCATATCTTCCTAATTTGTATTCCATTGCATGGTTCATTGTTTCTGGTGATATTAAAAATGATGATTCTGTTCCTGTCCACCTGATTTCCTGCTTTATGAATGATTTACTGGATGAACTAGACATTGGAATAAGAAATCTGCTCGATCTTTTCCAAAGCATGTTCAGTTTAGCTGTTTATATTATAACATGTTTCCTGCGTTAGGTAGATTTTAACGCAGTGGTAGCACTTTGATTTGGAGCAATATTATTAAACCTCAAAATACTGAATTTAAGTCACTTATGGAAGTCGTTAATTTTATAAATTTGGAAAAGGTACCAACAAGACATCTGGTATTGTACTTCCACTGTCCTTAATATCATATAACTGTGATCTTTTCTTTGCTTAGATTTACAATGAAGACTAAGTTAAAACTCCTTCTGAGTGATGTTTGTAGGTTCGTACTTTTAGAGGCCACACAAATGAGAAGAACTTTGTTGGTCTGACTGTAAACAGTGAATATATTGCTTGTGGCAGTGAAACAAATGAAGTATACGTCTATCATAAGGTTAGTAACACTACATCTCAATCTTTTTATGCTTTTTTCATTGAAACATACTAAAAGCCTTGGCATCCTTCCCAGGAGATCTCCAAACCTTTAACTTGGCATAGGTTTGGCTCACCTGATATAGATGATCCAGATGAGGATTCAGGATCCTATTTCATCAGTGCCGTATGCTGGAAGAGTGATAGTCCTACCATGCTAACTGCTAACAGTCAGGGAACGATAAAGGTGCTAATCCTTGCAGCTTAATAGCTTGGTTGAAAACCTTGACAATAGAAAATTGAATTCTAAAAAGTTATAACCATCCATCTTTTGCTCCAATTTGAAACCAGTTCTTATCAGTGTTTTTTTTTTTTTTTGTATATATATTCCTGAACCTTGTAGAGCGTCTCTAGGCTAATAATTTGTTTACATAGAATATGCATACCATTGATGTAATTTAGTGTTACAGCATTGAAAGTCCTTATCTAATTGCGCAGAAAAAAGTTGATGTATTGTGTTGTCATCTTTTTATCTGGATGTAAACCTGCCCTAGATTTTTGTATATCATTTTCCGGAGTCATATTTCGCTACAATCTGAATGTCCTGCAAGTGCCTGAACGCTACAGTATGAATATGAAGTCCCAATAACCAGCCTGAGTATATTATTGTTATTATTTACTAGATTGCTATGTTTGGATCGACTCCATATGGGTGTTTGCTTCCAATTGGAAAATTACTCTTTTTCAAGTGAAGGATAAGTCTGTTCTTGTTCAACAAGAACCTACTTCTTAATACTAACTAAATAAATAAATAATAATAATAATAATAATAATAATAAAAATGTATGTCGTATCAATTTTTTTAAATAAAGTTTTAATTTTAAATTATATTGTTTTATTTAATTAAAATTTAATTTAAAATTTAAAAATTTATCTTATTAAATATTAATATTTAAATCTTAAAATTTATTAAATTTTTGAATTTTAAATTGAAATTTTAATATTTTAATATAAATTGAAATTTTTTTTTTAAAGTTGGAATTCATACACATTAATATTTAATAATAATAATAATAATAATAATAAAAACCCTAGTGGTCAATTGGGCAGAAGCAATCTGTGAAATATCGGACTAGCTTTTATTCAATCTGCCCTGGTTACATGGGTTTTTCTTTTCTTTTCTCTTTTTTTTTTTTGTGAATTACATGGGTTAATTCATATGTTACAACGCAGAATACTAAAATACGTGCTACATCACATATTATCTCATACTGTAAAACATTCTGATTACAGGTAGGATGAACTAGGCCAATATAAAAAGACCGTCTTGTGAAAACGTACCCCAAAATATAAACGAAAAGAAAGAAAGGATCATTTCATGCAGAAATATACAACCAACCCACCCTAAAAGTATTGCGGTTATGAGAGATCTCAGGAGGGATAGAACAGATAGAGGAACTTCCTCGAACCCTGAAGGGAATTCTTATGGCGGACACTCGCAATCAGTCCAAAACAATTTCGGACTTGCAAGGTCAAGAAAACTCAAACGACTACTGTTGGGTACAAAAGGGCTGAAAGTAAGAAGAATATACACAAAAATAAGCTCAGGAGAGATATCACCATGGTCTTCATAACATCATGACTATACGTATACACCTACGCGAGCCGTGGTGATGAGGTCCGGAACCAATGGAGCCCAAGCCAGCTCTAGCATCGACCAGGGAGCAACCATAAGTATTAAGAGAAGGGACGAAGAAAGAAGAGGAGGTGTTAGGGTTATGACAATCTTCTAGCTGGGAACAGTTTTAATGAAGGTGAGGTTGGCTATTTATATTCAGAGAACCAGCCTCCATCTTTACTTTTCTTAATATCCAACAAGTTAAAGGACAGAGCAGAGGTATGGCGCATACGGTGCTAAAAAGGCAGAATGCTCATGATATCATGGGTCATTTTCGACAATACAGAGGGACCGGATGGATAATAATTATCCATTTTGTTATCTTTGGATTGATCATAGCATTCCTTCAATTCTGAAAGTTTCAATTTCTCTTCTTTTATTTTTTATTTTTTATTTTTTTTATCAGTAAAGTGATTATTTATTCCTCAGTGGAGTATTTCCAATTTCTCTTAATAATAATGACAAAGGATTAGCAATAAATGATTTTCCCTTTTTATTTTGGGTTGTAGTTAAAAGTTAACAAACTAATAGAAAGTTGATAGTAACCTATCTATGACATAACTCTAACCTGAAACTTAAGAATAGTAATGCCTCCACCTTAAACACTAAGGCAATGTGATTATTGTGTACAACACTTTTTACCCCCTGTTATACCACTTTTCAAAATTTTGCTTTAGATAAATTGGCATGTAGTATTTTTTTGACAAAAAGTGGGTGTTAGGCAATCACTTTTTTTTTTTTCGACAAATAATTGGTTTTATGATATGGGATAACTTTCTCCTTCCCTTATCACTTTCAACTTGCCTTATGATTTGAGTTCAAAATTTTCAACTTGAAAAGGAAAACACTTTTCAGGGTTGCACAATCATGTTTAAAAATATTAAAATAACTCCTAAAACACTAGTTTTTAGTAATTAATATCTAATAATTTAAAAATATTAATTAATGAAATTTTATTTAATATTTTATATGATTAGTAATTTTACCATTACACAACACTAATGAAAACCTTTTTTTTTTATATATTTATGCTGAGAGTGATTTTGGGATAACTTTTGCACACCTTAAACTTATTTCTTTATTAAGCAATCTTAAGAGTGCATATTTATATCGGTCTAATATATTTAAGAAAATTAATTTTTTTTAAGTGTTGGCTTCAAAATTTGAATCCTAAATCTACTCTAGAAGATGACATTTATAATTAAATTTAACCCTTGCGATTACTAATAAAAAATAATTATCAAACACTAATTTACTTTTGGGAACAATATATCACGATAAAATAATAACCACAACAGCAACATAGCGAAAAACGCTGGTATATATATATATTTAAAAAAAAAAAAAAAGCTACATAATGAAATTTGGATAAAGAGGAAGAATTTTGTATTCTCACTGCAATATGTTTTTTCATTTTTTTCCCTATATTTTCCTTTTCTTTTTTCCGCTTTTTATGATTGAGTTGAGATAGAAAGCCAGTGAGAATTTTGTATTCTCATTGCCATGTGTTTTTTTTTTCTTTTTTTTTTTCTTTTTTTTTCCTTTTCTAGTTCTATGGTTAATTTTGCATTGGAATGCTATGAAACTAAAATGTTTATGATTTTTTTTTCTTTATGCAAGGAAAATCCTAATGAAAGAAGATTTTATGGAATTGTGTTTGTATGTATTTTGCTAGGGGACCATGATACATTTACACTCCCTTGTTACACTCTCTTGTTACACCTTCCATCCCACATCTTCACTTTCTGTTACCTAATCCGTTAACTCCAAATGCTTGTTTCTTGCTCTTCTTGCTTTCCTTTCTCCCTCTTGCTGTTTTGATTGAACTTTTCTCTCTTTTAGACATGGAGTTGGGTTTGAAATGTTGGAGGAAAGTTTCCAATTTTCTTATCAACCAAACAACACACTATATTATCAAAATTGTAACAAATTCATTATCTTCTTCCTTTTTCCTTCTTCCTTTTTTTTTTTTTTTTCTCTCCATCTCGAGAACCCAAATCTGGGTTCTCCAAGTCGAGCTCTCCTGGAGAATCGAGAACCTAGATCTAGGTTCTCCTTAAGAAACCAATCTAGGTTCTCCAGGTCGGGTTCTCTAGTAGAACTCTTGGAGAACCCAAATCTGGGTTCTCCTTAAGAACCCGATCTAGGTTCTCCTCAATAGATCAAGGAGGGGGGAAGAGAAGGAAGAAGAGGGGAGGAGAGGGAAAGAAGAAGAAAAAGAAAGGAGGAGGAGGGGAAAGAAGGAAGAAGGTTGAAAATCAAAGAACTAGTGCTGGGTGAAGAGGAGAGCTGCTGGGTTAACGGAAGAAACGCAGAGAAACAGAGATGGAGTGAGTGTGTGACAGAGGGTATAATGGGAGAGTGTGTATATATCTTTATCCATTTAGTTATATACATAAATTTATATATGTATAAGTGTATGTACTTAGTGTATTTAATTTTTATATGTTTAAATTTATGTTTGTGTTTCAACTTATTTATTTTTTATAAGTATGAACTCATTTACTTCCTTATGTATAAGCACTATATATGAACTAAAATATGTGTTTTGAAATTAATTTAATTATAGTTTAGTTTGTATTAAAGGTTATAATATTCAATAGGTAGATAAGTATACTTATACCTAATGGATTAGATAAAAGTATAGATTTTTAATATCGAAATAAATATTATATATCAAAATAATCTTATACATATCACTATTCAAGTTAAGCACATATGAGCAAATACTTGACTCATACTTGCTCTTACTCTTCCCTATTGTAAAGTAAAGTTGTCATTGTTCCTTTTTTTTTTTTTTTTAACGTCAAAATTTGAATAAAATTAAATTAAAATAAAAAATTGAATAACTAAAAAGTTTTTAACTTTAGTTATTAGTTTTTGGAATTTCATATTTAACAAGTTATTAGTTTTAAGTAACTATTAATTTTATCTTTTATAGTCAATTTTGATCATTTAAAATTTTGGCAACCAACACAAAAAAATGGAAAACAATACATTACTAAACAATCCTTAATTAAGGCTTTCGTTTAGTATATTTGTAGTTTTGAGTTTTTAGTTTTTAGTTTTGGTTTTCAAAATTCAAATAATCAAAATTAACAATTAAAAATCAAAATTAAAAATTAAAATTGCCAAAAACTCAAAACTACAATTATATTAAACCTACAATATGTTTATGATAAAATCTCACAATATCTTCATAAAATAAAACAAGTGAGTAAACATGTATGGGTGTGACTAGTGAATTGAAGGAGGCGTGGTATGTGGTGTGGTATACAGTGACTTGGTCTATCTAGAAGTGGAGAAGCATATAATTTTTAGAAAAGAGGTGGATAACTTAGAGGAGGTAATGGATCTCATCAAGTTTAGGTCTTTATATTGGATTAAAGGCAAAGTGCAATGCTGAATTATCCCTAGAATTATGGAAGGATGATCCATGAAAGTTCTAGTTAAAAGATAACTGTATGTGGATATTGAA